TTTTTTTTAAATTGTTTTTTCTTAAAACATGATGTTATAATGATAAATATAATACATTTTTTAAAATAATATTATCTTAAAATTTAAATAACATCCTTTTTAAACTAAGAATAATATTTTTATAAAAATTTAGAAGAAATATCATTATCAATATGCTTATAACGCAAAAAAAGGTGGGAAGGAAAAAGTGGCCACCAATAAATCTACCTCTAGTGGTCAATGGTCACCCGATAAATTTCACTATCTAGCCCCTTATCGGTGGATTTTATTTTTCTTCTATAGTAATTTAACATTTTTTCTTATCCAGGATTACGCGGATTATATTTATTTTGATTTGACAAAACTATTTAACTTGAATATTGTTACTTTTGAAAAATCCTTAAATATGTTTGTTGCAAATCTTTTAAGAGTAAATACCTACAATGACTTTGAAAATAACTTCATTTTTTTTAAGTATGATTAAATTTTCATTCCTCACCTTTTCCTTACTAAGATTTTTATTTTGAAAAAATTACTACAGAAATGTTTTGAGAAAGGAATTATTAATCTATAAAAACTAGAATTTTTTTTTATAAAAAAAAGCGCTGTTTTCTTAATAGTTTATCTGTCAGTTTTATTGCTTGCATATTAACTAAAATGTATGTACAAATGTCCAAACTCCTGTGATCTTCCCACGGTACCCATAGGGGTCTGCGAAACTCTATTTGAGTGTCGCAGATTGAAAACTTTTCGACCGATTTTGCTTAATTTTTGTATTTTGCTATTTGTAAACTTTACAATTCAAAGTTTATTTTTACTATTTTTAAATAAAATAGTAATTAATAAGAAATACGTGTGAAAAATTATTTGTTGTTTTTAACTATATTTGGTTAAAATAATTTTAGTATTGTATTTAAAAAAGGTTCGATTCGCTTAAAAAGTTCTTAGAAAAGTTTTTGATTAGTTAAAAGAAATTTTATTGACAATAAACTCATTTTAGTCCGGTAACGACAATGTAGACCGGAAACGAATCAAACTAGGATGAAGTAAGGTGCTCGAAATTAAATTTAAGCGCTCTAGTCAATCGGAAAGTTGACGACTTTCCATCCTCACAGGCACGGAAACTAGTTAACTAATAGGTAGTAAAAATATGATTCTGTAAAAAAAAAACTTCAACAAAATTTAGAATTTTAGATCAAAAAGAAATTTATATAGATTTGAAAAGAAATTTAGATAGGTATTGTTTTATTCGAAACAACAGTTTAAAAATTCGAGATAAAAAAGAGCGATTTCGAAAATCGTAAACCTATACAAAATCTTTTGTTTAAATAAAATACATATCTCATGGACTATAATAGTGGCACAACTCAAAAAATATTAGTTTTGACTAAGAACAGGTGTAAATATGAAAATACACATTCTTTTCAGCAGCAATACTAGCACAACTTATTATTCAACTTGAAGATAATCTTTGGTTAAGCAAACTAAAGCATTTCTTATGTTAGCTACAAAACTATAAATCCACTTATCTCAAAACATGATTTTTTGAGTTGTGACGCTTTATCAGCCCATGAGAGACATTATTATGTTTTCGACCATAAAATTGAAATTAGAAATAAAATGCTTCGTTTCTATGTGTGATCTTTGTCAACAGTTTTTAAAATAACAAAGCATTTTCAACACATTTTAATATTCTTTAGGAAAACCAAAATGTAAAAATTGTAAGTAATATTAAATTCAAGTTTTATTTATCGGGGATTATAATTTGGCGACTTTAGATTGGAACATTGCAAATGTGAAATTGCATTATTAAGATTATAGCAACCCTGGAAAATCAAAACTGAATTGAAATATTTTTTTAAAAATAGATAAGAAGTATTCTATCTCTCAGTGGGTAAATCGTATTCACTTCTAGAAATGCTAGTAAAAAAATGTTAAATCTGCGTTTATTACTTCAAGTTTTTTTAGATTATATATTTAAAAATTGAGAAGATTGAAATTAATGGATTTAACAAGTAAGTTTCAATTTTGCATTTTATAATGCTTGCAGAGTGGGGGAAAATGTTAATTATAAAGGGCCACATATTGCNAACTAATTTTTTTTTATATATATTGATTATAAAAGTTAAAAAACAGTGTTTTAAATTATTGATACTTTTATTATTTTCTTTTCTTAGTTTCAAAATTTATTTTAAATAAATTGTTGCATTAATTAATTTTAGTTAACGAAATTACTTTCTTTCTTGGTGTGTGTTAAATTCCAACACATTGAAAATTACATTTTTAAAAATCTTTTGATTCTTGAGATTGAAAGCACAAATAAAAGTAAACATTTAATGCTGTCTTAATATAGACTTGCATAGCTGTAGAAAGTAATTATTAAACATGAATTATTTCAAAAAATAATGTAAATATTGTTAATTAAAAGTCTACCCTTTGAAAGAAAAAGCATGGAACTAAAATCTACATTATATTTTATTGGTGGAAAATGTATATTTCTGAAGCTTTTTTGAAAGCATATTGAAAAGAAAATACCAAATTTGCCAAAAATAGAAAGAAAAAAAAAGGCCAATAAATTCAGATTCAAATTCAGATCCCCTGATATAGTGTCATTCTTCCCTTTCAAACTCTTTCAAAGTCTATTGGAAACAATAGGGTTATTAACTGGTATTTTTTCTCATAATATGTTTACAGTATCTTTGACATCTGATTTTCTATAAAGAAATTTTGTGAAAAAAAATTCCTATGAGTTCATAGATTTAAAAAAAAAATATTTTTAGCTTAACTTATCTATTTTGATATAGAATTAAAAGTGAATATTTTAATATAAAAATATATAGATTAAATATTTATTTTTTGATGAATGACTACATTTATAAACTCAATTCTGTTACATTTATTTTGTCATTTTAAAAATCAAGCGGAGAAGAAAGAAATTTTAAATTAAAATTATGGTTTGCTAATTGAAACTTTGTTCTAATGGTTAAAGTACAGGGGTCTGTCCAAGTGAAATTTACTACCGTTTACCGGTACCTACACAAATTTAACTTTAGGAAAAAAGGTAGAACAATTCCACAAAATGCTTTTTTCTTAAAATTTTATTTTTGTGTCTCGTAAGAAACGATAAGTCCAAATTTTTAATTTTCAAAAATTATGTCTACATTTTCACAAAATAGTTATCTCTCAGAAAAACCTAGACAAACCCATAAAAAAGTATTCTTTAAATTTTCTATTTGAACTAGTCCTTAAATTTCAATCATGCATTTGTTTCAAAATGGTTGCTATGCATTCAAAGCTATGTATTATGATGAAAAATTATTTTAATAAGTTAAAATATTGTTCTAAATATTATTATAATATAGTTTTAATATTAGGGTGACCCGGGGTAATTCACGATCACTCTGTTTCTGGGGTAAATAATGATCACCTAAGTTTTATTTTAAATAATTTTTTTCTAAATTTGAGACATGAACAAGAATGCTTGTACACTTTACTAAGGTGTAACTACATTTACTTAATAATAGTTTTTTGTTTAATCTAACAAAATAAGTACTACCTTTTAAACTGCTTTCTGTATTTTCCATTTCAAAGATGGGGTTTCATAATGCGCACATTTCTGCAAAGATCCCCCTCCTTCTCTTAATAATAAATATTTTGAGTTACTTTCTTTTTCTTTGATATGAAAATAGTGTAAGCTCTTGTTTAATTGTGTCACATTTACTGTAAACATTATAATTGATTATAGGAAACTATATCAAATGTTGCCCCCTACAGATGGGGTAATTATTGATCACTGGGGTAATTCCTGATCATTGTCATTTCTTTTCATAAATAGTATTAAAATGAGCTAATAAATAGCTAATTGTCTTTTCTTAAGTAACAGTTCATATTTATCAAGTGGAACAACTATAAAATACATTTTAACTCAATTTAATCACAAAATTTGTTTTTAACCGTATGCTAGACAAATGTGTTCGATTTGTCTTACCTTACTTCTATCTTAATTTTATGTGTGTACATTGTTAGAATAATTTTTAAGTTTATAAATTAGCCTAATATAAATATGGTGAGAAATTATAAGCCTGAAAAGGATACTAAACTTCTAGAAAGCAAAATAAGTTCTAGTTATTAAAATTTCATAATTAGTAAATTTCTTTTAATGATTTAAAATGAAAATTTCAGTGTGAGAGCTGTTGACATACCTTACTTAACTTTACACTCTCTCTTAATGAAGTTACAAAATCCAGCAAAAGTAACTTATGTGGGAACTCTTTTTTATATTCCAGCAGAACATGAGAATGAGTTGGCTGCTTGCTTAAAATGTATGGCACGATACAAAGATTTTTGGAAAATTTCAAGTGTTAACCTTTATTTTTGCTTCTTAAATAAATCGTTTTATTAGCTGCTCAAACATATATTTTTGGTTTATTTGTTTGATCTTGATGTCTTATTTATTAATTACCACTGTAAAATTATTTTTAAACAGCCCCTTTATGATTAAATCTGGTGATCAGTAATTACCCCAGAAGTGATCAGGAATTACCCCTAAAGGATCAAGAGAAGGGGCAATTTCTGATCACTAAAAATTTAAAATATTTTAAATTCTAATTAGATTTTCAAACAAAACAAGGTAGCCTAGGACTCATCTCATATAGCCTCAAACTTCCAGTAAATATTATAATTCTATCTTGAATAGTTTTTTTACAAAATAGATGTTTGCATTTTTTGATCAGGAATTACCCCAGGTCACCCTACAATATTTTATTTTTACTTTTTTTGTAGTTATGTAAAAAAAAAGTTGAAGAAAGACAAATATTATAAAAGAGAAAAACTAAAAAGTAATCATATAACAAGGATAGAAATTCAAGTCAGAGAGCATCTAAAATATTTAAAAAGGCCAGGTAAATTCAGGTTCCGAGTTTAGTAAGCGGGAACTTAAAGCAAAAAGATGCAACTCAAAAGAAAATTACCAAAGATACTATAGAAAGAAGATATAAAGAAAAAAAACTAGCAAATACTTACCATAAAAACCATAGCAAGTACAAACCATAAAAAAATTAAATATACCAACAACTTCTACCCATTCACCTAGATCAGAAATAAGGAAAAAAAAAAATAGAGTAGACAAAACGTTAAATAAATATGCTAAGTCAAAATTTTACAGAATGAAAACTGCATAATTTTCAAAGATAGATGTGCAAATAACGCCAAGAAGCACAGTAAGGAAATTGTTACATAAGGAAAATGTGTCTCTAGTTAATAGAAAAAAAATAATTTTTGGAGAAGCTTTAAATGTCCAACTCACTAAAACCTATTAAATCACATAAAACTAAGTAATTTTTTTTTAAAATTGTTGTACATCTATATTATATAAAACGCTAATACGTACGTATGTATGTATGCATCAATAAAACCGATGATATTTCTTTTCTCGCGCTGGCAACAGTTTTCATTTTTAATTGATTGGATTCGGCGCGCAAGAGCACGTAGTGAGCAACCAGATAACAATAACCAGAGTGAGCATTATCAGGTTGTTCAATTCAGATTCATGCACTAAAAACATGACAATATTTAATTTAAACTCAATTAGGAATTAATTAATTAATTGAAGTGAGAATGCTTTAAAAGGCCGCTGTTGAATTGATATTTTTCTACTGGGAGCTACCTAAACGTCTAAAAAACGTTTAAGTGTTTGTATTGAATGCATTGAATTTTTTTATATTTCGCGTTTATTTATGCATTGAATTTTCACGCTTTAAAATGCAGAATATTAGTGAAGCAATATTTGATAATTTATTTTGCTAATATGTTTCTTATTTAGCTAATGTTTTGATTTTTTCACCATGTACAATCTAAATAGCTAATATACTTTTTTAAAAGCCAATAAGAACATTGGTAGAATTCTTCTACATAAGTACAATACTATGTCTTTGATGATAAAATACTATGTCTTTGATGATAATATATTATGTCTTTGTGCTAGAACATTGTGTTCATTGGCGAGCGAGCGCAGCGAGCCATGGTTCACGGCGTGAACCACATAGGATTGCATAGCAATTCTCGGGGGTTGGCGAGCGTAAGCGAGCAGGGGGTGGAGCCTCCTAGTTATTTTTAAATTACATGAAAATATAGGCTAATTAAACAACAAATACGAAGTATAAGAGTCCAAAAACATATGAAGATTATATAAAAGGTGGTTAAACAAGATATTCCAGGGCGAAAAAAAGGTCTCAAATTAAATATAACAAGCTATGTGCAGGAAATAAATTCCGCAGTGGACTAATCGTTAAAGACACGGTTCCCAGTAAAATACCAAAGTCAAGCCTAACTGACTGTGGTCAGTCAGCAGCTAGGTGACCACTTCAATCAGCCTGCGTAGGGACTGAGGGTGCGCGGTATCGGTCTTCGTTAAACTGTTCTACAGTAAAGTGCTCGACTTCGCTTGCTGGTCGTCGGGCAACCAAAGCAGGAGAGCCATCGCCTCTGCAGAGGATCAAAACTGCGATGGCCAAGTCTTCGGATCATCCAGGGATGATTCTCAGACCGTTGCCAATAGCCCATTGTGCAGCTCTAGTACGACGTAAACAAAGTACCTACCCGCAGGAAATAAAACCTGCATAACACGAAATAAAGTGAACTGTCGTTAAACAGCTGACCCAATTTTTGGGTTTACGACTACTAATGTTCAACTCCTTAGCCTTGTAATTTTGAGCCCAATCCAAAAGACGAGGGAACTTTTGCATCAAATATTGGGATACTGCTTTTGTGGGAAACTTTTAGATGGAACTAACCCGCATTTGCGTTACATGAAGAGAAAAACCTCCCACGGTTAGCCTGAGAGCAAGGGGACTATGACCCATGTTCCGTCTACCGCGTTGGTCGGAGAAAGCCGGGTGCGGAATTAGTAACGCACAAATTTAAAACTGAAGAATAGTAAAATTATAATATGAAACAAAAAAATGATGCTACATTCGGATATTCATATTTAATTTTAATTCATAATTGCGATGGAAAGGTGGAATTTAGGAAAATACTAAACCGGAACATTGTATGCACTTATCAATTTACCACATTGAAATAAAAAAAGGTTTAAATTAATTTAAAGCTGAAGAATACCCAACTGATACTTTTCAACAAAAAAAACTAAATATTTCCTTTTTGTCGAAAAAAATATATAGATAATTAAAAAGTGGTGGGTTTTTTATCACATCACATAACCAAAAGTTCATTTTAAAATAAATTGAAGATCTTTAATAAAAGTGAAAAATAGATAAATATTTTACTGAGCAACATAAATGTAAATTACAAATACAACAAAATAATAACAAAACACGACTTTTGTAGTTTATCCCATTCGACTGGAGATTAATTGCATTCAGCATCCCTTGGTGTGATGATATCGCTCGCGGCCAACTCAAAATTTATCGCAACATGTAATTTTCTCCGGTTCATATTCCTTTCAAGAGCGAGCGTAAGACACAGTATCGGTATTAAAACTGCTTAGTATTGGTGCAGTTTTAATAATCGGTATATCGATATAATACTTTATATTAGTACATTTGGTGATTATTGCATAAATCTTCAACATTTGAGTTTTCTTCGAAATATATTTCGCAGTGGCAGCAAACGTAAGCCGAAATTTTAAAATAAATAAAATTATTTAAAGATTTTGATAAGAACTTTGGGGCATAACGATTCATCTCACCTATATTTACAGTTTAAAAACGTAGTAAATAATTTGTGATGGAAAACGTTCTTTTAATTCTAAAATATTAACACACTATCTTTGCTACCACTGCAAACATATTTTTTTGAAACTACGGAAAATCCGTTGTAGAACTCTTATTGAAATTGGACAAATTACCATAGTGCCAATATCACCAAAATTAATTAAACGTAATCTGCGTAGCACGCCGAAAAGTTAATGACAAAAGCGGTTGCATAAATATTCTCGTCTGCTTCAAAAGTTTTATAATTTCTCAGAGTCGAATTAACAAACATAAAAAAAATCATATCAGTTATCGGGTTTATAAATTTTTATATTCGGTTAAAATTTATAAATACTTTAAAGAAGCAAAGTATAAAGTTTTAGAACTCTAATAGTAATATAATTTAGAATTCAAATATAATAATAATAAATAATTTTATACAAAAACTATCTCTTGGATCAAAAAAGTGAAATCGCTTGCAAATTTCTTTTTAATGAAAACTCAATTCCAATTATATATCGTTTGATTAGTTAAATTAGAGCTATAGTGTTTGATATCAAGTTTCAAAAATATCCTGAGCTTCTTATTATAAATTTTACTAAGTTTAGTAATATTCAAAGATAATGGCTGGAAAAAGTAAATATTTTATATTTATTAATAAATCCTTTCTTTTTTTTTAACAAGTTCATTGACCCGTGTTCGTAACACCAAAGAAGTGTTAATACCTACATTAATATATTTGTAATATAGTTACTATTATATATGCATATTTTTTCTATTATATTTTAGAATTACATAAATAAGAAAAACTCATTAGAATGTAGACTATTAAAATGTATATATTTATTTAAAATTAGTTAACATTCAATTTGCTAATGAATTGAAAAATATTAATTTATTAATCATGCAGCATAGAATAGAAAAACTGAATTGCTTATAGGAATTGCGTAAAATTTTTCGTTTGTTAAAGTAACCGAAGCAGAAAGTCACGCCCTTCGCAGGGAATCAAAATTGTGATGGCATATTTTTCGTATCTTCAAGAATGTTTCCCAGACCGTCACCCAATAGCCCGTTGTGCAGCTGTTAGTGCAACGTAAATGAAGTACTACTACTGCTGAGAATTCGTGCAAAAACAATATATTTGTTCTAGATTTTGGGGGGGGAGGGGAGATTTCATGGCATTTTATCTGAATTAAATTTTTAGATTGTTTTGATTTTTTAGATTGTTTGTTAACACTTAAGTTTTTTTACCCTCCTGGATTTTTGTTGAGAAATCCCTTGTATTTAAATTCAGGCAAATTAATACGTCTGGACTTTTAATCAGGTTAACACACTGTAGTACGTTTTACTATAAAGTTTACAGAATTACATTCAATTTCATAAGGTATGCAAAACTGACTTCACTATTAAAATTTTAACTACTATCGCTTAAAAAATCTCCCTGAGAAAAAAAAAATTAATTAAGTTGCTACTTTCTTAGGGAATATTTTCCAACCATGTGTTGCAAAACTCATCTTCCCACTTAATATTTTCAAACTTAATAGACCTCTTATTTTTCTGAATAAAATGTGGGATAAATTAAACTTTAATGATTTTGAATCAATTTCTATTTTAAGGATTTTTTGAGACAAGATAAGTACAAATTAAAGACCTTCTCCGCATAGGTTAATGATCACAATCAAGGGCGTCGGCAGCGGGGTGCACTTGCATCCCCCTGTTTTTTTTTTATTTTTTAAACAATTAAAGGGATACAGAAAAACAATTTTGTTAAAAATATTTTTAGTCAAGAATAAAAAATTGTGTAATTATTGATAAGTAACAATTAAAAAATTGTTAATCGAACAAGATTTGTAATCGTCCTGTTTGCTGCCAAATCTGTTTATAACTTTTTCAAAGAATTCTGAGTCATCTTTGATTCTCTTCTTATGCACACTGAGCATGCACAAACTTGACAGATATCTGAGCTATAATTTTAAATAATAAAATATAAATAATATTATATTTTCTATTAGCTATTCAGTTTAACAAAGGTGTATAACGCAAACTGACTTCTCGCAACCGTAAAACTTCATCAACAAACACAATAAATAACAATGTTAAGCGTGCAACGAAACTACTGTTAATAGTTATTTGTGTTTCAAAGTCAGTAGCTATGCCAGCGCCATCAATATAGTTTCTCGTGGCAAAATTTGCAAATACAAGAATTTCGTACTTTTTTCTTAAATATCTTGATAACAATGAAGAAATGTATGTTGAAAAAAAAAATAACAGGTGAAAGTATGTGTAATAACAAAACAAAATGTAATAACAGAATATTTTAATATTTTTTGGGGGGAGGGGGGTAGTTTGTTAGAGGGTTACACCCTCCTTTTATATTATTCCCTTGATCACAATATTCAGCTCTTCTTTTGTCAGTTGTTTATAAATTACTTCTATAAAATCACATCATTGCTTTCTTTTAAAAATTTAACCTTAGGTTCCAATGATTTAAAATCGCTCCAACCCATTGTAGAAGACGAGGAGAGTGAGGATGAAGAACAGACAGGGTGAGCCTACTTTTTTTTGTACTTTCATTAATAATATTTTTAAATTATTTTCATTTATAATATTTATTGGGTGTGCAAATAAGTTCCCTCCATTCGTCACAAGAAGGATGTGTAGAAATTGAATGGTGTTAAACATCTCATTGTAAGTTTGTTTATTTGGTAACAACATAACCTTAAAGCAGTGTTTCCCAAACTTATGACTAAGGCCCGGATTTTGATGACATTTGCATATTTTTGCATTTTTGGACATTTTTTGTCTTTTAGAGCATTTTTTTAGATTTATAGGGCATTTTTCTTTAAATTTTGGGGCGTATTTTGCATTTTAATGCATTTTTTAAAGTTTTTTGTTAATTTTTTCCAATTTTTATTATTTTTTATCAATTTTCATTATTACACTGGCTTTCAAACAATGAAGAAAATCTATAGGATATTAACAGGTGAAGCAAAATCTTTTCAAATTGAAGAAGAATTGTCAGTAAGTGAGACCGTCTTTTTCAAGTACACACCTATAACATCAGTAGACGTTGAAAGAAGCTTCTGCAGGAAT